CCCCCAAACCAGCAACAACTTTCACGACCAAACAACCAAACAACACAACCACCCAACGACAGCCATGAATGACCAGCTCCATCGACGACCCCCCCTTCCGCTTCGTTTTCACGTCGCAACACACACACACAGCTCCACAGTCTGTCGACTTCCAGCTCCGACACCCAGTCCATCGATCTTCAGCAGCCCCACGACCTGAAACAGTCATCCCCCAGCTTCATCTCCTCGTCGTCAACCCGTCATCTCCAAACATCCCTACTGCTTCATCTTCTGCTTCGTCTTCGCCTCATCGCCATGGATGCCATTGCTTGCTCGACGACCATGGCTGCCACTGCTTCGAGCTCCAGCCACGAACGACCATAGCTTAATCGTCACGTCCAAATGAGCATCGTTGCTGCTGCTGCCCGTCCAGTTGAGCAACGTTTGTTGCTGTTGCTTCGTTCTTCTTCTTCTTGTCAAAACAAACGAACCGGCGCCGCCACTGCTGCGTTCCTACTCGTCGAGTTATTTTCCGGGCAGATTCGAGTTATTTTGGTTTCAAAATTTCCGGGCAGATTTATTTCCGTTCGAGTTCGTCGTTTTTCCGATCCGGTTAGTTGGTTTAAGTTTTAGTTTTGTCCGTATCTTGTTTGATATTTTCGGATTTGAAATCAGTATATGTTTGATTCATTTCTTGATTATTTCTTCTGTTTGTTTTTATGCATTTGTTCTTGTTTAGTTTTAATATGGAAGTGTGTTGGTTATAATGTTGTTAGATTTAAATTGAAGTTCAATTGATTTTTTTTTAAGTTTAGTGATTTGAATCTACTTGTTTGTTATTGTTGTTGAATCTGAAAGTATGTTTGTTGTTAAAAGAAAAAATAAAATAAAAATATTGTTCAGTCAAAATAATTCCAGTTTGTTTCTTTGTTGTTCATCATTTAGTTTGAATTTGTTGTTTGAATTTGTTTAGGAATTGGTTATAGTTGTTGTATTTTGGTTAGAATTGATTAGGCGAATTGGTTATAGCTGACGGGGATAGAATGGTAAATTATAGTATTTTCAGGGGTAAAATGGTAATTTCAGTAAGTTCGAATGGGTATTTTTGGAATTGAAAATTTGAACAATTATTTAATCTGAGTGCTCCGTCCACTATGCATTAATAATATTACAATAGTACATGGTGGGGGACAAGACATAATGGAGGGGGAATAATTCATTTGTTTAAGGTAGTGGGGAACAAAACATGCAATGATGTGAATATTTCGGGTTAGTGGTTCAAGACAAGGGTCTTGTTATAAATAGAGTCATTTTTTGACACAAAAGGAGAGAGACTTTTATGGGGAGAAAAAAAGGGGATAGAGGAGAAAGTTGAGAGAGTTGATTGAATTTTGAGAAATTAGAATTTGAGAGCAAAAAGAGAAAAACAAGTTGAACTTTTACTTGAATAATTTCAGGTTGCTTTTCCTTGAGTGTTATTCAAAAATCAGTAAACTACTGCGTCTTGTATCCGTCTCTCTTCTACTTTGACTACGATTGCATTCTGGTACTGCTGGTTTTCAATCTGTTACTGGGTTATTCTACTGGTCGTTACTAGTTTTGCTTTTGCTGAACCTGTTGTTGCTGTGTATTTACACTACTGCTACTTCTACTGATCTTCATCTTCTTTCCTTGCTTTCCAAATACCAGGTACACAAACTGATACACTGGTACATCTTGTAAGCTACTCGAAGCATGAATGTAAAAAATGGGAAAGATTTGAAGCTGTAGTTTAATGTAGTCTTTTCTTTCTTTTACTGTCTGTACTTAGAACATTCTATGCGCTGCCCATGTAAACTCTGGTTATATACTGAATCTCGGTTGTATATATGTTAACTAGTTGCCTTCACTAGAATCAGGTAGTTGTTGGTTATGTATAACATGAGCATCTATCCTATAGCAGTTTAAGTTGTAAACTTCTTCCCCGTAGGCTTTTAGTTTAAAAGGACTAATAGTGTACTTGTAACATTCTGCTAGTTCAATTTGTTCGATTAAACAACATGTTCCAAATACGCATCAGGCCTTAGGTTGATTACTCAATAGTTCAAACTATTTTAGTTAACAACTTGCTCATCTAAATTCGTAAAAAACGGGTTTCATTAGGTATCACTTTCATTTCGGATTCTTAAAGTTTGAACATGTGTAGAATCATTTAGCTAAGCCCAACAACTGAATAAGAATGGCACAGGTCTAGTTTTACCCCTTATACATTGGATCTGAGCCCATAATTGTTAACCGACTGCCCTTATTGTATCGTTTTCAGATTTAACGACTCACTTTCGAAACTCAACTATAATAACTCGTGAGCATGTAAATAAGTTAGAACTCTTTTCTTTTATTATAGAGACGAACAAAATAGAAAACATAGTCACTATAGGTCAATCTTTTTAAAATAAAAATGAGGCGAGCCTCGCCAAACAAAGACGCACAAACTACGGGGCCCTCAATAGATGTTAATAATTACTTAGATTTCGGGAGTGGCCATTTAGCGAACTTCACGGCTTTCCCCAAAGATAATAACGCGTTAGACTCTTTAGACGCGATTTTAATTAAATTACATGTTTAAATTCGGGTGCGCATTTATGTGACCCAAATCCAAATCTCAACGGAGTCGGAACGTATTAACAACCACGGGTGCATTGATTGTGACGTGGTTCGAGATGCATTTTCACGACGTTGCAATTCTATAAAAAAAATAATAATAAAAAAGGTTTAAACTTAATAAAAGCACACAAGTCATAACATGTATAAAAATCAGATATTTAGCAATTACAACAATTTAAGTGACCGTGCTAGAACCACGGGATTCAGGGGTGCCTAACACCTTCCCTCGGGTCAACAGAATTCCTTACTTAGAATTTCTGGTTCGCAGACTTCATTTGGAAAGTCGAATATTTTCCTAGAATTGGGATTCAAGATAAATCGGTGACTTGGGATACCAAAAGCCAAACCTTTCCCAAGTGGCGACTCTGAATTAAATAAATAATCTCATTTCGAATATTGTCACTTAAATTGGAAAAACTCCCTCACGCATTTATCCTTCGGGGTAGGCGCGCAAAAAGGAGGTGTGACAGGAAGAAATTAAACTCTCTCAAGCTACAGATGACAGAATGGTATCAGAACAACAAGTATCTATTAACTACAACAGGAGAGTACTAAATGTCAAGGAGCTATCAGCAGATGTTGGGACCTATGGACAGAGTAAGGGCAACTGACTTAATCTAGAGCTCTATTATGCTGCCTAAACAGAGATATCTAGTATGGCTAGCATACCAGAATAAGTTGCTAACCAAGGAGAGACTAAGTAGACTTATGATCTATGTAGATGAATAGCAATGCTGCTTCTGTGATCAAGCACTGACAGAGACACAACTGCACATTTTTGGCAAGTGTAAATAGATCTCAGAGCTTAGGGAAAAACTGAGCACTTGGCTGGGCATTAGACTATAGGATACTGCATCAAGTCAAAGTGATCAAATGGATCAAAAAGAAGAAATGGAACCAGTTTCAGAAGGAAATAGTTATAGCAATATGGGGAGCAATGATGTATTATACTTGGCAAGCTAGGAATTGAAAATCTCTAGGAAAGGAAATGTAGAGATAGATTTTGTATTTGCTCAAATAAGAAGAGAGATTACATATAGATTAGGTATACTCCAGGAATCTAAAAGAGCTCGCAAGAGTGAGTTGCTAATTCAAGAAGCTATGTAACTAATTGGATTGTTTGTATTGAGATCTAATGGATGTGGCACTCTTCCTAGAAGGTGGCCATGACATTGGAGACTCTTTAGGATGTAATGTTTGGAGTGATATGGTAATAGTTCACATTTATTACCACACAAAAAAGCGCGCGCGCGCACACATATATATATATATACACTCATGGCTAAGGAATATTATCTTTGTATTGATGTATCCTACTAGCATCGTAAGTGATGGTAGATTGAAGAATAGTATCATGTTTTATATAAAAAAAATATCTTGAAGTACGCTCTTAGCTAGGATGTCTAACATAGGGGTATTCATGGCTTCCGTTTGGATTAATTTTCCTAAAAAGAAACCAATCAAGTAAGTCAATATTTCAAACATTAAAACCAAACCAATTAAATTAATTTTTTTATCGATTCAGTTTATATCAGTTTTTATCGATTTTTTTATTTTTCTTGGTAATAGTCATATCGTATTTCTTATTAATTAAAGAAACATAATACTTTTCACTTATATTAAACGGTGATTGATTACTTTTAAGAGGCAGAGTTTCTCTCTTTTTTGGTTAGTTACATAGGATTAAAGTTTATCAATTTTAAAAATTTAAACTTTATTTTATAATTTAAACATAATTTTTAATATAATATTTATGTGATTTAAAAGAATTGCACATCCATAAATAGGGTACACTGAGACTAGTAATCTTATAAATACACAGTTCCTCCCTTGTAGTTGTAGGGTTTTATTCCAAAGCGGCAACGCGCTACGTACTATACAGTTACCAAATCACATTCTCTCTCTAGGGTTTACTTTCTCTCTCTTTCTCCTAGGGTTTCTGCGATGGATCTAACGAAGAAACGCAAGGCAGATGAGAACGGCGGTGCTTATCCTGTATCTAACGAACTCGTTACCGCCGCCGCTCCTCCGGCACTCGGCGTTCTCTCCCCCGAAGACATCGACAGAATTCTCGAACCGTTCACGAAAGACCAGTGCATCTCAATCCTCCGTAACGCCTCCCTTCGTTACCCCGATATCCTCGAAGCTGTTCGTTCCATCGCCGATGCCGACGTCTCTCAGCGCAAGCTTTTTGTCCGTGGTCTTGGTTGGGAGACCACTACCGACAAGCTCAAACAGGTTTTTTCTGCATACGGAGAACTCGACGAGGCCATAGTTATAACCGACAAGGCCTCGCAGAAATCAAAAGGCTATGGTTTTGTAACTTTCAAGCATGTGGATGCGTCGATTCTTGCTTTAAAGGAGCCCAACAAGAAAATTGATGGCCGTATTACGGTGACACAGCTGGCAGCTGCAGGTAATGCGGGGAATTCACAGTCTGCTGATGTGGCGCTTAGGAAGATCTATGTTGGTAATGTTCCATTTGAGATTACGTCTGAGAAGCTTTTGAATCACTTTTCCATGTACGGAGAGATTGAAGAGGGGCCTTTGGGATTTGATAAACAGACTGGAAAGGCAAAAGGTTTTGCGTTTTTTGTGTACAAGACTGAGGAAGGAGCAAGGGCGTCTTTGGTTGATCCTGTGAAGACGATTGATGGACATCAGGTGTTGTGCAAATTGGCGACGGATAATAAGAAGGGGAAGCCCCAACATAATATGGGGCCTGGTGGAATGTCCAATACTGGACATCCTACAGGAATGCCTGGTGATGATAGGGTTGGAACGATGCCTGGTTCTAATTATGGTGTTCCTGTAAGCGGGTTGGGTCCGTATCCTGGGTATTCAGGTGTGCCTGGTCCAGGAATGCAGCAGCCACCGCCTCAGCCTGGAATGGTGGCACATCAGAATCCACATCCTGTTGGACCTGGATATGGAAACCAAGGACCGGGTTCTTTTACTGGCAGTGCTGGTGGATATGCTGGCGCTGGTGGGTATGGTGGTGGTGCAGGGGATTACACTGGTGGACTTGGAAATGCTGGTTACAGGATGCCACAAAGTTCTGCTGGAATGCCTAGTTCAGGAGGTTATCCAGATGGTGGTAATTATGGATTACAGTCGGGTTATCCCTCACAGGTACCACAACCAGGAGGAGCAGTGGCCAGGGTTCCACCAGGTGGGATGTACCAGGGCATGCCCCCATACTACTGAGGTAATCTTTCAGTTTGTTTGTTTATATGTATTTGTGATAATATGCTGCCTTTTACATAGTATTTTTTATGCATATATTTATTTAGCAACTATCTAATGAGTCTTGGTTCATTTCTTGCGTAGTTTACATATTTTGTAGGAGTGCCTGGTTTACATATTTTGTGAGTGACTGTCTGGTAATCATTGTGTGTTCTTTTTGGGTAAATCTCTATCTTTTATTCTGAATTCTACAAAGATCTCTCTCTCTCTTGTTTTTTTTGTGTGTGTATGTGTTTAGCATTTGGACCAGGAACTGCAGATTGGAAAATCCCAGTTCATTGGCTTACCATTGTTCTTCTGGGGCTCCTGGCATATCTGTTGAATTTTGTCTGATATTTCTGGTGATTTTTCTGCTTCTAGTAACAAGAGTTCGTTTTCCCATGGGGTGTAAGTGGATCTATTTGCACTTATCCAATTCATCTTCTGTAGAACCCCTTATAGCTTGATTCATTATGCTGTTTAGTGTGGTTTATGTCCCCTGTACTTTGAAAGTAATTTGCTTACAAATGTTTGCCCACAAGAAGATTTATATGTTGGAATCTTGAATGATTGAATTGTACATGGATATCTGTTCAGGTGTATTGAGAGCTTCTTGGACGCAACATGCTTTAAATGGTTGTGCTGATTTCCTGATTGCAGACTCTGAAATCTTTGTTGCCATGGACTGCTGTACATCTGTTGCTGCTTCACCTATCTGCTCCTATGTGTGGCTGTTAGTTAATATTTGCTAGATTCAAGCTAGGACTAGGTTACTTTAAAAATTGCTGTATCTTTTGTTTAGTGTATTGTGGATTATGTCAGTTTTGCTATCTAATATTACCCGTACTTCCCGTTTCTTGTATGTTTCTTATCTGGCAATCTTTCTAAATGATCTTTCTAATGATCTGGAGAATATGGCGTTCTTCTAAGTCTTCTATCATGTTATATGATAGCCATTATTGGCTTAGCTTTTTTATATGTAGACTATGAAGGATCTTTATATTCGATGATCTGAAACAAAATATTCGATGCAAACAAAATCTCTATATTATTTTAATTTTAATTATAGTATTTTAAAATAAAAACAATACTAATTCATACATATCTGGAGCGGTGATTGGAAGATTGAGAAGCACAAAAGTTTTGTGGTATTAAGTTCTAAAATGAACACCGTGTGACTGTACTGCATTTTCTAGTTGTCTCAATAACTAGTGAAGAGAAGGGTCTTTTTTGATGCTGTCAGTCACTGATTTGAATCGATAATCTGAAGCAAGGGCAATATATTCATATTGTTTTTATCAGAATTATGTCCATAAACATCTGGACTGGTGTTAGGGAGACTGGAAACTTGCAAATGTTATGTGGTATCAAGAACCAAAATCTGCTGTTTGCCAATTTGCCTGCATTTTTTAGCTGTCTCAATAACCGGTGGCATAGCTATCACTTGTCGAAACAGAAAAGAAGAAAATGAAAACTCTAGTTTGTTTTTCCTTTAAATCCACCTTGTTTGGAATTATTGGAATATACTCCAGGAAAAAATCCACTTATTTTTGGGGAATTATCTCATTATTTGTTCTACCATCTGAAGATCCTTGTTACTTTTCTTCCTCTCCTAATTTCCTTGTTTTCTTTTGTGGGTGAACTTGGGAAAGGGAGATAGTGTGAAGTCAGTCGGGTTAACAAACACGTAATGCAAGTGCGTCTCTGTGTGTGTGTTGTCTTGTGGGCGGGTGGTTTGATGTATCAGTGACTTGAGCTTAGCAGAATCCTGTCTACATCACTATGCTGTTGCTGTTTCCAGGATTTGTGTTCGATTGAACCTAATACTAGCTTTGTACTTGCTCCAAATTGAACATGTGTCATTTGTGTCATAGTTTTGGCTTTCACCATTTCTCAAGCATACTGGATCTATTTTCAGCTTATTTGGTGGTTCCTGTTCATGATTTGCACTGTATTTAGATCTATTATTGAATCTAAGTGGTGATGCCTGTTAAATTCCTATACATAATCAGAAAGTGATTGCTTGTTCTTTGAAATTGAAATCAAGATGGTTATCTATTCCTGCTATGGTCTGTGGTCTACCCTGGTTGGCATGAGGGCATAGAATTAGTTTTGTTGTGATTTCGACATGCTATTGGAAACAAGTTCCTATTTTCATCTTTCATTGGCGCTGCTTGAGCAATGTTCCTGGAATTGTATTAGATTTAATTCGCAGTCAAAAGGATTATGGAACATACCAATTTCTTGCTTAAGGTCACGTGTTGTATTCACTTTTAAAAAGTATTTCCAAATTGGAAACTAGATGTGTCAGAAACAAAGTTCTCACCCGTCTCAGTCTAAAGTTTGATTTTTTGGATTTAAATAAATATTTCTTTGGCGGTTGCCATCTAAATCCTAAGTAAGTCCTTGATGTCATGATGCATGTCTCCGATTGTAATTGCAAAGGTTATGCCTAGATTTTTTTTGTTTTTTGTTTCTTAACCCAATTGAGTTCCTCTGCTGCCTACCCTGCTGATGTGAAAGTGTAGTCACCAGAACAAAATCCTTTTCCTTGTTGTTTGGTGGCTCTCCACTCACCATTGCAGAGATGCGATGGGGGTGGGGAGAGTGAAAGCTATGTTGCAGGTACCGAGGTATTGAATTCTAACATAATGACGGCTGCTAATTTGGCGAAGATCAAGGTGCGGTAGATGAGGAAAATGCTGAATGGTGGGACGACCTGGCTCGAAGGCCATAAAAGAAATTTGTTGTACTAGATCTAGGACTCTATTGTTGTACACTTTGAGCAATAAGAATAAAATGTCAAAAGTTAGTTAATCTTGGTGAACTTCAGCTCAATCTCAATGCAGCTGTATTCAGAAGCTTCCATTAATTGGTTTCTTCCTTTTTTCAACTTTTATGACATTAGATAGGATAGAAAAATATAGTGTAGAAGGCAAAGAAGAGTTTTCTGGTAAAAAATCTGGGCTAATATAGTAGGGTGTCTCGGTCAATCTGTTCGCAAGTAAACATCAGCGTAATATTTGTGACTAATGTCTGCATAAAGATTAAAATTTTCAGTACTAATATGTGCATGCTATTGCCATCTTCGGGACTCTTTACCTATCAAAGTGGGAGCAGTCAAATAGTCAGAAATCTATATCACACTAGTGAGGTTAAGCCCGGGTTCAACAGCTATGAGTGAGCGATTTTGTCTAAATATGTATCATAATTTATTGTTTCAATATGTATCATAGTCTAATTGTTTCTCTATCGATTCCTAGTGGTAATATATCTTGATACCATTCCGAAAGTTTTAAGCGTTTTAAGTGGCCTTAGAGTTGGCTAAATTCACCAAATAGTAGGAGACAACGCAAATGATGGAATATTTTAGCTTAACCCTCCGACAGTCTCCTCTGTCATTCGATTTTTGTGCTAAGTCAGTTGACATATATATTGTTGTCTCATGTCCTCGGGACTTTTAGTTAATTTAAAAGTAATTTATTTATCAAATAAATATTATGATAAAAGTTGTAATACTTCCAAAACTTGAGATTTTGCTACTGCTCAGGGTTGAAGTCATGTGTAATAGGTATTGAGCAACTTTTGACCATGTCTTCTGACTTGGGGTGCGTCTATGATATACATTTCTCTCTCTATTGGATTGTTTTCCGGCCGCGATTTTGAGTGTATTTGGTATGAAAGAAAATATTTTCCTGAAAAATGAATGATTTTTATTATTTATTTTCGCTTATTTGGTTGGTGAGTGAAAATTAAGGTGATCTATCTCATGTTTTAGACTTGGGGTGCGTCCATGGCCACGTCTCATGGTGATCTGTCTCATGCTATATTCACCAAATAGTAGGAGACAACGCAAATGATGGAATATTTTAGCTTAACCCTCCGACAGTCCTCTTTGTCATTCTATTTTTGTGCTAAGTCAGTTGACATATATAGTGTTGTCTCATGTCCCTGGGACTTTCAGTTAATTCAAAACTTTTTATTTATCAAATAAATATTATGATAAAAGTTGTAATACTTCCAGAACCTGAGATTTTGCTACTGCTCAGGATTGCAGTCATGTGTAATAGGTATTGAGCAACTTTTGACCATGTCTTCTGACTTGGGGTGCGTCTATGATATACATTTCTCTCTTTATTGGATTGTTTTCCGGCCGCAATTTTGAGTGTGTTTGGTATGAAGGAAAATATTTTTCTGAAAAATGAATGGTTTTTATCACTTATTTTCGCTTATTTGGTTGGTGAGTTAAAATTATGGGGATCTGTCTCATGTTTTAGACTTCATCTCAGCCCAATTGGACAAGAATTTGACCTATATTGAGGAGCCAGGGGCTATCTTGGACAGGTCAGGAAATTGAGATCAAAGGACATGGCTTTAGTGAAGGTTTAATGGAGGGGTCATCCGATTGAGGAGGCGACCTGGGAGACCGAGTACGACATGCGAAGTCGTTATCCTCATCTATTCATCACTTCAGGTATGTCCTTATGCACGTTTAAGGATGAACGTTTGTTTTAAGATGGGGATAATATAACGACCCGACCGGTCGTTTTGGGTAATTGTGCCCGTTTGCCTTTTTGATGCTTCACACATGTGAGTTTATGGTTTTATGACTTACGGGGTTGATTAGTTTAGTTTCGGGACCATTTCGGGTTGATTTGTGACCCTTTGATTCTTAGCTTAGAAGCATAAGTTGTGCATGTTGACCAATGGTTGACTTTTGTGAAACAACCCCGGAATGATGTTTTGATGGCTCTCATAGCTTCGCATTGTGATTTTGGACTTAGGCGTATGCTTGTAATCGAATTCGAAAGCCTGTAGGTTGATTTGTGTTATTTTGCTGAAATTTGGCTTGACTTTTGTGTATCGGGATCGTAATTTGGTTTTTGGATTTGGAATAGGTCCGTTATTCTATTTAGAAATTTTCTGCAAAATTTGGTATCATTTGGAGTTGATGTGATAGGATTCGGGCATTTAGTTACAATTCTAGAGGTTCTTCAAATTTACTTTAAAATTTATACGTTTTGGTGTCCGATTCGTAGGTCGGGATGTTATTTTTATGTTTTGATCGTGCAAATTCGTATGATGTTTTTAGACTTGTGTGGATGTCTGATTTGGAGCTCCGAGGGCTCGGATGAGTTTCAGACATGATTCAGAATGGTTTGAACTGAAAAATGGAATTGATGGTGCGCTAAATATCGCAACTGCGAGCACCAGCCTCGCAATTGCGGAGGTGACAGGGGATGGTCTGATGTCACAATTGCGACTCCCCTTCGCATGCGAGCCCTTGCATTTGTAAATCACGGGTCGTATTTGCGAGCGCTGACAGCCTCAACAAAAGTCATAATTGTGAAGCTGACCACTATCGCAAATGCAACCAAATAATAGCAATTGCTAACCAGCCCTCACGCCTGCTAACTTCGCAAATGCAAAGGGAAATCACATTTGCAACATATGACCAACCCCGGTCACCTTCGTAATTGCGAGGCCAGTGCTCGCAATTGCGATAACTGAGCACCAGGACACCAACAATTCCATTTTCAGTTCAAACCATTCTGAATCATGTTCGAAACTCTTCCAAGCCCTCGGGGCTCCAAACCAAATATCCACACAAGTCTAAAAATATCATACGAACTCGCTCACTCTATCAAAATACAAAAATAACATCCAAAACTACGAATTGGACACCAAAATGCATGAATTTCAAAGTAAATTTCAAGAACCTCTAGAATTGCAACTAAACGTCCGAATCCTATCAAATAAGATCCAAACAATACCAAATTTTGCAGACAAGTTCTAAATAGAATAAAGAACCTATTCCAATTCTAAGAACCAAATTACGATCCCGATAGACAAAAATCAAGCTACAGTCAAACTTCTAGACTTCAAATTGCCAAATTTCAGCAAAACAACACAAATCAAGCTACGGATTTCCGAATTCGATTTTGGGCATATTCCCATGTCCAAAATCGCGATACAAATCTATCAGAATCATCAAACATCGTTCCGTGGTCATTTTCACAAAAGTCAACCATTGGTCAACATACACAACTTAGGCTTCTAAGCCAAGAATCAAAGGGTCCCAAATCAATCCAAAACCTTCCCGGAACAAAACTAATCTACCCCGTAAGTCATAAAACCATAAAAACACATGTGTGAAACATCAAAGGGGAAACATGGCTCAATTATATAAAATGAGCGGTGGGGTTGTTACATCCTTTCAACTAACTTATTTTAAAAAGTCCTGGCGATGGACGTACTGACACACCATATTCAAGGGGAGGTGCCACGGTGTTTGTTATTTGTTGATGATATAGTTTTGTCTAATAAGATGCTTGGCGACGTTAATGAGAGGTTGGATGCTTGGAGACACACCCTTGAGTCTAAATGTTTCAAGTTGAGCAGGACTAAGATAGAATACCTAGTGTGCAAGTTCAACGATGTGACAGGGGTAGCGGACATGGATGTACGGGTGGACTCACAAGTCATCCCCAAAAAGGAAGTTTCAAGTACCTTGGGTTAGTTATCCATGGGGAATGGGAGATTAACGAGGATGTCACACATCGTAGAGGGGTGGGGTGGATGAAATGCAGGATAGCATCTGGCATCCTGTATGACAAGAATGTGCCACCGAAACTTAAAGGTAAGTTCTATAGAGTGGTGGTAAGATCGACCAAGTTGTATAGGATAGAGTGTTAGCCAGTCAATAATTCACATATCTAGAAGATGAAGGTAGTAGAAAGAGGATGTTGAGATGGATGTGTGGGCATACTAGGCTGGATAAGATTAGTAATTAAGATATTCGGGTGAAGGCAGGTGTGGCTCCCATGGAAGACAAGATGCGGGAAGCGAGGCTTAGATGGTTCGGGCATGTGCGGGGGAGAATCCTAGATGCCCCGGTAAAAAGGGTGGGCGGTTGGTTTTGGCAGGTATGAGAAAAGGTAAAAGGCGACCTAAGAAGTATTGGGGAGAGGTTAGCACGGCTTCAGATTTTCGAGGATATGACCCTTGATAGGAAGGTGTGGAGATCGAACATTAAGGTTGAAGGTTAGGAGATAGTTGAGCATTTTTCTACTTTGTACCAGGTGTGAGGATAGTCTGATAGTGTTTTTTTCTTAGATAGATAGTGGTTATTATTGTGTTCATACTATTTTTCTATTTTTATAGTACCGTGCCATTATTACCGGTTATTGCTTTTTCTTTTCCATCTATTTTCTGGTTCTTACGATGCTGGTATTATCTTTCTGGCTTCTGTTTCTACTACTGATCTATTGTCTCTTTTCGTCTTCTTAAGCTGAGGGTCTATCAGAAGCAACCTCTCTACTCCTCCGGGGTAGGGGTAAGGTCTGAGTACACACTACCACTCCCTAGACCCTACCCGTGGGATTTTACTAGGTTGTTGTTGTTGTTGTTGACTTATAAGGATGTTTAACATACTTGAATTCCACACATTTTGATTTGTTGCATTCAAACTTGGGCAATATTTCCAAATTAATCATTATGCGCAAGGTTTTATAACTGATATGTCTTAAACGTATATACCATAAATCATTTGACTAATGTAAGAAGAAGCTAAAATTTTATTATTGTCAACGACCCTTACATTCAGTTTGAAAAGGCCCTCAGAAAGGTGACATTTTCATACAAACATCTCATTTTTACTTATAACAACTTTGTCAGATAGAAAATGCACTTAAACCCGTTCTTAACAAGAAGTGTGGTAGAAACCAAATTCTTCCTTATTTTAGGAACATAAAGAATGTTATTCAGAGTTACCACCTTGCTAGAAGTCATCTTCAAAAATATCTTTCCAGATGCTT